TTTGTTGCCCTTTGAGACATGAGCCAGTTTTGTACCCATGGTAGCAATCTTATTTCAACATTCGTTTTTCTTCACTGACTATATAAAGCCATACTTCTCATATCTTTTCGGAACCAGCTTGTTGACTTCCTCATTAATAAATTAAATCAATATTTGATATTGGCTCACTATCAATTTGTATATGAATTTTGCTTTTAATATTTTGAAAATTATACTTTGGTAGTACTTTTATTCAGGCAAAGTTATCAACTAGGAGGCAATACGGTAAGTAAAATTGAATATTATCATTGTTAAAATTAAAAGCTAGACAAGAAATGTAGGAACCAAGTTTATTTCTGCTAGCAAGGAAGAACAAGATGACAGTTTTGGTAAAAACTTACATTCTCAATAGGAAGTATAATCATTAGTTTTATAAACAGTTTGAGAAAAAGAAAAAATTGTAGTCATACTAATTTAGAATTGAAATGCTGGGCCCATATATAAATTTCAAGATTCTAACTTACCTTTCTCATTGGAAAGTTTTTAAGAGTTTGACCAAATTTGTACTTCTGGTCATCTGTACTGTCTGGTTACGTACTTGTCTCCGCAGATAGTTAACAGGTCAGTTAATTTGCATTGAGAATTTTGTTCATTGTGTATATGACTCTGGTAGCTGATTTTTTACTGGCTTTCATCAGCCTGCATCTATGAGTTTCTCTGTTTCTGTGGAGGTTTTTCATAAATTGTGGCAGATCGGCAACGGCCAGAAAAATATGGTCTTCTTAGTCCTTTGTCTACATAATGTGCTGTCATGTATACATTTGGAAGCCAATTACTATATGAAAACTATGTAGAATGTGTGAATTTAGATCATGACTCCCTAAGAAATAATACTCCTAATACCATTGGACAGGCTATATTATAGCTAATGGAATGTAAACTTTAGGGCCTCTCATTTGCACAGGTCCTGTAAATACCCTAGGAGGGGCCCTAGCAATTTTATATTCATAATTTATATTATCTTTCTTTAAAAAGACCCAACACAAACTATATAAACGGTAAACTCTACAAATTCCGGATTTCTTTGTCTCAGAGTGAATTGTTGTTTATTAGATGCCATTCTTAGCACTACGAGAATTAGTGAATGCATGAAAGAAATGATACAGAGATGTTTTCCTCTCTGATTCACTTTCTTGTGTACTGTTCAGTTGGATGTTTGTAGTGGGAGGTGAGGTGGTGAGACTCATACAAAACCTAAAAACGTGGCTCTTAGGGAAGATTTTGACTACAATTAGCCCTGACTTTTGTTTACTTTTGTCAGGAATCAGGGGATGAGGACAGGAGAGAGTAGGAAAAATTCTATTCTTAAAAGTCCCAGGGACTTTCAGGCCTGTTCGCCTTTTTCTTGTGTAAGATTTAGGAAATGTTATTAAATATCCTTTTACTAAAACTTTTGTCTTGTGGCATCAGTTATCTTGCCCAAATCTTTCTCTTTTACTATTTTGGAATTTTATACCATACAAATGTTGATTAGTAACAATTATATGGGTTAGGATCTTCTTGATGTCAAATTGAGAGCTTATTTTTGGTCGACACATGTAGAGGAAACTAGGAAATATAATATCTCATTTAGCTTGGGTGAAATGGGAAGTAGCTCTCCTTTATTAATAAACTCTGAAGGATAAAAACAAATTTTATGAATGAACACTGATTCGCTCCATGGTTTTAATTTTATCAATTTGTCCCTTTCCTGAAAAGTATTGAAATGAATATTTGGAAGATGGAAATTTCACTAGAAAAAGGTTTTTCTTTTAGTCCAGAAACTATTTTTTTAAATAGTTTCCATTGTAACTGCTTTGCTGTAAAAAGTTACTGGAATTATTTTTTTATTTTATACTGCTAAAGCTATTCATTTCTGAGAAGCCTTTCTTGACTCTTCCACCCTCCTCACCCTCATCTGAGTTAGAAATCTGTTTTCCCTGGTATGCCTCTTTTGTACTAACTTCCAAATATTTTTACTCGGCTTACATTAAGAATTTTACTAACAGTGAACAAGATACCCTATGCTAAGAGTGGTCAGAAAAATATACAGTTTTATAACTTGATTGCAAACAATTTTTGATGCTTTTCAAAATAATCAGAACTGGTCAATAAGTTGGTAAAAGAAAATTGTTAAGAACTACTTAAAAACTAAATATGAGAAGAAACGTTGGCTCGAAAATCTATTAATAGAAAAAAAAAGTTATCTGCCTGTACAATTTTTTTAACCTTCCAATCCTCTTCTTCAGTTCACATATAATACTATTGACAGAATCGATTCTCACTGTGGTAGCCAGTCTCTGAGATGACACTCCAAAGATCTATGCCTTCCAGTATTCATTTCCTTGTTTAGTCCTCTCGCTTCGTGAATCAAGACCAGCCCTGTGTGACCAATAGAATCCAGTGGAAGTGATGTTGCATGACTTCTGAGATTACATCATAAGAAACCTTGTAGCTTCTGCCTTGATCTTTTGGAATGGTCATTCTTGAAGCCCTCAACATAATATGTGAAGTCCAACTACCCTAAGGCCACCTTGCTGGAAAGATCACATGGAGAGGCCCTGAGATTTCATGTAGAATGATTCCTGGCCAGTTCCCCAGCCATTCAAGTCATCCCAACTGAGGCTCTGAGTGTAGCATGGAACAGAATTGAGTTGTACCCACTAAGCCCTGCCTAAACTGCAGATTCATGAGCAAAATAAATAATCATTGTTTTAAACCATTGAGTTTCAGGTGGTTTGTTACACAATAGATAATGGAAACACTATTCCCCTCCCTTCTCCTTCACTTGTAAAAGTGTTTCCTTAGGTGAGCGCAGAGCGAGCATGTGTCAGGTCAACTCAAGAATAGGGACTTTCCTAGCCGTTGTTGCTAGGGCAACTAACTTTTCCATGGTACAGAGACATACCTCTCCAGTACTATCTTCTAAGAGGTAACTATGTCACTTCTATGGTCAAGACACATAGTGGACCTAGACCATCTCCAGCGTCTGAGGCCAGGTTAAACTCCACAACTCAACTGTTTAATATAGATGAACATATCCATTAAGCTGAACATTAAGGGCAGCTTTCTATAGAAAAGAAATCACAACAAAAGTGTAAGTAGCAGCAGGAACAGGGAGCATATAGGCAGAAGGAGCAACCAATTTCTGTCTGGCCTCTGCAGAGTTGGAGCTGCCAGAACATGTTCCATTTTCAGGATCTGCTCTCCACCCATGTTTGTAATATGGAACTCATCCCTACAGCTACAACATTTAGACCAGGGGTGTACACTTGATCGATGGGTAACCATTCTATTACTGATTGGTCAGCAATTTATCTGGTTATCTCCCTTGAGAATCTGAACTAAGATATAAAGAGATTGTAGCATGCATTTGGACAGAAAGGCCATGAGGAATCAGGGTGGGATGGCTGTTCTCAGCTATGTATATGCCAGTAAGTAAAGAACGCTAGTTTGCAGAAAAAAAGTGGTGGTGAGAATCCATTGGGGAGAAAAAGGGAGTAAAGAAAGGAAGAGTAAGAAAGAGAGAAAGAAAGAGTATGAGAGAGCTCTAGCACTAGCTCTGTTCACTGGCTTTCTAATCCTCAGTTTTTTTAATTTAAATTAATTTTCCTATATTTTACTTTTGGTCAGGGGTGATGGTAGAATGGAATTTAACAGAAAGAGGACTTTATCTTCACTTTTGTTTAAGGGCCCCTCTGAAAAAGCAAAAGTATGCACTGGGTGAAGATACCATTGCCTAAGATCTGTAGCTTAAATTTGCAGAAATTTCTAATACCTGAGCACATGCATTTTCCTTCCTGATTGTGCAATAAAAGATAGGAAGTGAAAAAGGGAACAGTCTTAATGCTCAAATTAAGTCAGAAACTCATTTAGGATACATACTAGATGTGAATAAGTGTGTGAAAGTAAAATGATCACCAAATTTAAACCTGAACCGATCTGCATTTAATGTCCTACAAAGATGTCAAAATACCATGCTCTTAGAATTAAACCAACAACTCATCTTTTCTATTACATTAGCAATACATGTATATTGTATTTTAATAGCCAGACAAACCCTATGCCATTTGTTTAGAAGAGATCTGATTATTTATATAACAATGCTTATGTCCTGAACTAGACTATAAACTCCATGAGAACGCCTTTACCATTTCCCTGCTCCCCCCGCCCACACGTCAGTCAGTTTCTTTGGGAAGGAATATGAAAAAAGTTATAAATGCCTCCTTCACTAGCGTGCAAGCATTCATTCATACATTCATTTGACAAACGTTTTATTGAGCACCTACTATGGAGTTGGGCCAGGCCTAGAGAATTCAAAGGTATATGCCATTAACATAGGTTTTTGAGTCCTAAGAAATTCGCAGTTCTGATAGGGAGAAGATATACAAATAATTACTTTACTAAATACTTGCGCAATTTTAGAGTGATATGTGGAAGTATTAAGAAAGCACAGAAGAGAAGGCAAAGAGGGAGGTTGTTGGTGAAGTTTCTTATAAGGGTGACATTGGCCAGACAGACGATGTAGGGGCAGAGAATGGGTGAAGAGGGGAAGCAATGAGGAATACGAATTTCAGGGCCCCTTCCTGTGCCAGCAGCAATTTCTGTTCCCTCACCATTTGCATTATTAAACTGACGTTCAACGTTCGACTAAGGTTCCCTTCCACACCTCGGACTTGAAAACTGAGAACCAAAGGCAAAAACACTAGGCTACATAGCCGGTACTCCCAGCAGCTAAAGAGCCCCACTGAGACCTGGGAGGGCCGTGCAGAACTGGGGGCGGGATCCGCTGTGCGTGCGCCAGAGCTGGCCGGGCCAGCCCCTGGGGGCCGCGCAGGAGCCGGGCGCTGATTGGTTGTGTGAGTGCATAGACCTCTTTTCATAGGTCGCACAGGACTGCTCGCGGGGCTTTGATTGGCTCACCGCGCGCTGAGCGGTCATTGGATGTGGCTGGTCGTCAGGGCAACTGAGAGAAAAAAAAAAAAGAGAGAGAGAGAGAGAGAGAAAGAAGTGTTGGGCCTCGCGGGTAACCGAGGCTGCGGGTGTCTGGGCGGTTCCGCGAGGCTGTGCCCAGAGACCTGCGGGGCCCAGGCTCCCGGGGTTCACGCCACAATCCAGGAGGTGCCTGAGCGAGCGGGCCGAGAGGAGTGCGGCTGGGAGACCTGCGGGCAGGGACCATGGGCTGCTTCTTCTCCAAGAAGCAGAAGGCTGAGAAGGAGTCGCAGCCCCAGGGCGAGGAGGAACGGCCAAAGCAGTACAGCTGGGACCAGCGAGAGAAGGTAACCAGAGCCCGTAGCATCTGGTCTCAGCCCTCCGGAGCCAATCCACGAGGGTCCCTTGCAGGCCTGGTAGGGCTGACGGGGCCGACCCAAACAGATGTCTCTCTCTCTCGATCTCTCTCTCTCCTCCTCCTCTCTCTATTTCTCTCTCTCTCCCTCGCGCCTTCTCCTTCTCGTAGTTGAAGTCGGAGTGAATGACTTTTAGGTGAGCCATGAAATACAGTGCTAGAGAGGGCGCTACGGAGGACTGTGCAGTGTTGAAAGGGGCCTTAGACTTCACTGTCCGGGTAGACGGACCCCTCGGGGCTTTCCCTCCACTCCACACCCAGGCCTCCGGTCCCAAGATGGACTCGAGAGGAGGAAGAAGAGCGAGCAGAGCCCAGAATCTCAAATCTGCTCATTTTTCCCACAGCGCCAAGCGGCGTTTTGTCCAGTCCTCAAGTTACACATGGGACTGATTCTCATCTCTTTGCGGCTTATGTTCTCTCTTGGGGCTGTTTTCTCTTTTGTCTGACCTAGCCAGTAAATCTCTTTGGTACTTAATGGTATATTCCACTGCTGAATTTTCTCATTTACGAAGTGAACTATTTAATGTACAACTTTGCTTTCCCTCCTCTTCCAGTTACCCGAACGGAATAATGAAAATTGAATCTGTCTTGGAATGTGTGTTAAGTCTGTATGGTGAAAATAACCAGCATAAACTGGACAGTATTTACTATTGCTTTAAATGAATGAAAATGCTCAAATTTTTACTTTTATATATAGCCAGAAACGAAAAGGCTTTGAAAATGTCCACTGGTCTTGCACAAAGCACACTTAGTCATGAATTTCATAATGCTTCCTCTTTCTACATAGTTCTCCATTTGTATTTAGTAAAATACTTTGATAGATTTACCGATTACTTTTCCAAACAAAATGAGAGATTTTTTAAATGAGTGTTATGAACTGTTAACTCCTTGGTTAATGTAACATACCTTTATTCATAAATGCTTTATAGTAAATTTCTTATGTTTTGATTTCATAGACCTGCCTGTGTGATTTCCAGTCCCTAGCAGAATTTATTCATGTAAACTCAGTTCTCCAAGTGTCACATTTAAGAAAGCGGGTACTTTTTGCAGACTTCTCAGCCTCATCTTTCTGCCCCTGTTTCTCAGATCCTTCTTGGGTTACATGGTATATTTATTCTCTCTTATTCCTACTTGTAGTAGCATTTTGTAATGTTGGAATGGGAAATACTGTGCTTTCTGTCATACAAGAATATCTTACCTATTGTTTAAAATTATTTGGTGTACAGTTTTTAAAAATTTCATTTCCTCAGCCCTATTAGTGTTTCTAACAATGTTGTTTAAGCTTGAACTGTCTGCCATAGAGAAGGTTGTGTATTTATTTTTATTTTAGCTTTTTGTTTTGAAATCATAGCCCAGAACTAAACTTAAGTGCTTTTGTTTTTTATTTAGAGTAATCTTGGTTGCCTTCTGACTCATTACTTCCTAATAAATTGTCTTACAGTTAACCTTCATTAACGTGATGTTCAGGTTAGTTGGAATCTCATGTTAATCTTTCTCCTTTTAGATAAATGGATATGTTCTGTGATTTTTTTTCTTTTGCCCTTTGGCTAAGTAAACACGTTGAAAAATAAAATAGTGGACACCAACATCTAAGCTCCCCGGCCCCTGCACCTCAATGAGCATATAGTAAACTTTCAATTGTAGACATTGTTTTGAGCTTGCAGGGAACATTTTTTGAGACCACTACAAGGTACTGTAGTTGTAGAGATGTAAGAGATGTTACTGGGTATGTGAAATAAGCTCATGCTTATGGATATGTGTATAATAAAAGTTAAAATCTTGATCAACTCAACTAATCAAAATTTTTCTAAATGAGAATTTTATTCTGAAAACAGCCCAGTTTTAAAATCTTTTGTACTATTAGAGAAAGAATTACTGGCTTATATTTTGAGACAGTGGAGATAACACTTTTTCCATCACTGGTTTTTCTTTTGGGAATTTTTTTTTTTTTTTTTTTAGAATTACTGGGAATTCACTCTAGGGTGCCTCATTATGATAGCCTGCTAAATTTTATATGATTTTAAAGATTTACATGATTTTTTTTCTAGTTCCTTCTCATGAGGCTAATTTTGGCTAGTGTAGAAATGTTCTATATTAGTCTAATGATGCTTTTACTGAGGTTAGCATGGTCTTGCTTGCTCTCAGATTTTAACTGTACCTTAAAAGGAATAGAATGCAAATACAGCGCATAGAACATACATGAGATATGTTGCATGTATATTAACAGAATGGTTTGTATTAAAAGGTTAGGGTCCTATAATGTGATCATGGAGTATAGCATATACAGTTTTAAAGTTTTATTGGACAATTAGCATTCAGCTTGTAAAACTTTAGGTATAAAAACAAAATGTGTTGCCTGAAAAGTTTCCTCACAACTTGGAAAAGTCATGTTTAATTTTTCCTTAGGTTCCGTAATCAGAGTGTCTTTACTGAGAGGTACCCTCTGGGTTTTGGATTTTGAGTTGCGTAATTGGGTCAGTCTTAGGGAACTAAAGCTAGGAGAAATTGTCTCAATTAGAAAGAATGTTCGAGACTAAGTGTTGTCATGGCAACTGATATACTGTAATCAACAGTGTAAGACATTCATTTTCTATTGCCACTGTGAAAAAGAAAAAAGCTTACTGTACAATTACGACATTGACATGATGAGAAATATTTTTGGATTGTAAGATCTGTGTTTAAATCATTTGGAAATAAATGCTTTTATCCTTGTTATCTGTATGCTGCCTCCCATATCTAGGCAAATTATTCTATGAATATGTACTCAAACACCAAGGAAGATTCAAAATTATAAGAATTATCCCTGCCCTTATTTATTCAAAAGAGCTGACTGGCTTTTTTGAGTTGAAACAGGAAATATTTAAATAAAAACAAAGGGAAGATGAGTGGTACAGAAAAGCAGTTTTCATTTTTCAGATAGTCATACCAGTACCCCTTCTAGATGATAGAAATGATGGCGTAAGTATAAAAATTATAATTTTGAGGATAGCCTATCTTGTATCCATTACATTTGTCTCATATTTGATAGAAACAACACTGAACAAAAGCCTTATACCAGAGATTAAAGTAACTGCATTTTATGTAGTGCCTGTTGTGGAACTTTGGATAAAGCAGCCAATTTGTGCATTTCAGATTCCTCAGCGATAAAATGGGACAGTGCTAAAGATTTTTCTACTATTTAATAAGGTAAAGGCCTGTTCTGAGCAAGAGAGTTAGATGGTAATAGTCACCTCTGAGGATAGATCGTGGACCAGAGGTTGGGCAGGGCAGAACGAGTCTTAACATAAGGCAGATCATAATTCACAGAAATGTTCATCAATTGAAGTGTGACTTTGTGAGGAACTGATCTCCATGTTAGTGAAAACATTCAGACAAAAAGAAGTGTCTGCATTGAGTTGGGGCCTAGATGCTGTTTTTAGCCTTTTAAGTATGTGCGAAATTCTAGTTATCCATTGCTGCATACCAAAACACCCCAAAACTTAATGGCTTAGAATAATGGCAAGTACTTATTTTGTTCATAGCTCTGCAGTTTGTGTGGGGCTTGGCAGGGTTGGCTCTCTGCTCTATGTATCATCAGCTGGGGCAGCTTGACTTGGGGCTGGAGGATCTGCTTTCAGTATGGCTTAATCACAGAGCTGGCTGTCAAGTTGATGCTGGCTTTCCACTGGGAGCTCAGCTGGGGCGGAGGGCCAGGGGCCTCTTCATCTAGGCTTGCGCACAGCATGATGACTGAGTTCCAAGAACAAGTCTCCTCAGAGACTGGTAGAAGCTGCATAGCTTTTTCTAACTAGCCTCTTAAGTGACCTAGTGTTACTTTTGCCACATTCTGTAGGTTGAGGCAGTCACAATGTCTACCCACATCCAAAGGGAGGGGACCTCTTGATAGGAGAAGTATCAAAGAATTTGTCAACATGTTTTAAATCCTTTATGTAAAGTTGTTTTTTAAGGAAATAAATAGTTCTTTATTCATTTAAAAAATAACTTTGAGATACAATTCATATACTATACAATTCACCCATTTAAAGTATACAATTCAATAGTTTTAATAAGTTCAGAGGGTTATGTTAGTATCACTATGATCTAATTTTAGAACATTTTCATCCCCCACAGAAGAAACCCATACTCACTCTCCCTCTCCCCAGTCCCTGGAAACACACTTTTACTTTCTATTACTATAGATTTCATTGTTTTGAACATTTATCAATGGAATAATACACTATGTGGTCTTTTGTGACCAGCTTCTTTCACTTAGCATGTTTTTGAGATTCATCCATATTGTAGCATGTTTCAGTACTTTATTCCTTTTTATTGCTGAATAATACTCCATTGTCTGGATATACTACATCTTGTTTTTATATATAAATAAATTTTATCCATTTTATTTATTTATCTATTCATCAGTTGATGGACATTCAGGTTGTTTCTACTTTTTGACCATGACAAATAATGCTGCTAAGGATATTTATGTACAAGTTTTTGTGTAGCCATATGTTTTTATTTCTCTTGGGTATATATCTAAGAGTGGAATTCCTGGATCATATAATAACTCCATGTTTGACTTTTTGAGGATCTGCCAAACTGTTTTTCAAAGTGTCTGCACCATTTTACATTTCTAGTAGTATAAGAGTGTTCCAGCTTCTACACTCATAAAGTTTTGATAAAGGGAAAAAGCACAGGGAGTGGAAAGTGTGTGGGACTGAGGTACTCTGCACTCTATTACACCTCACCAATAAAGTCCTTTAGCTTCCCCATACCCTCAGTTTCCTAAGATCCCTTCTGGTTCTCTAATTCTTTGAGCATCTCAGAGGCGGCGAGGATAGAGGAGGAGGTAAGCATTGCTAGAAGAATTCAGGCAAACCTGGGTGAACAAAAGGAATGTGATGAGATGTAAAATTAGATTAAGATTAGATTAGATGTTAATTCTATAATTAT